ATGCTGGCACTGACAGCATCGCAGCCAATACCATGGCAAGAATCTAATCCAGCTAGCAATCCAGTAAGAAAACAAGCATCGTGTGCTGCTGGCTTTAGTGTGTAAACTCAAACTTGAGTATGAACGTTGTGAACGCTCAATCTTTGAGTTTATATACTCAGGCCCGATTTCAGAATGCTCTAACATATGCACTTACATCTTCGCTTCTAAATACGCAAGATATATGTACATTTGTTAGTGCTCGTATTCAGAACGCACTAACAAAGCTCTTTTACCTAAACACATGATAATAGCCAATAATGCAACTCAATATAAAGCAACTTTCTTGTTATTGGCTTCTTTCACATCGCGGAATGTGGATTCGCCTAGAATCATATGCGCGCGAAGCATAACCGCGAAATTTAACATCTTCCTGACATATTATTAAGTGTAAATGGTAAGTATACATTTATTCTTAAGTTATTATAATATAAATGTTTATTATTATTTCCCATATAGTAGATTATTTTAGCAATATTACAGCAATATTTTCAACAATACTGCAAGCAATTCTGTGCTATATGTATGGGTTATTATTTACGCATAGTTATTATTGATACCCTTACTTACAATCCTTACAAAGGCATGGAATTGTCCCTCTCCGATTTTGAGCTTTGAAAATGTTTTCTAAACAAAAATAGGGAATACGTATTTTTTTACACGTGTCTGGTTACACTTAAGAGAAGGAACTCTCTTGGGAGGGCTCCGATTGCACACATCGCATATTGCACACATGTATCGCTGATTGGCCAATTTAAAAATAAAATAATCTCATTGGCAAAACAATAAAAAATTACTAGGCACCAGTTGATATGAGTGGTGTGTACAATCAGAACTGTAGGCAAACGGGATCCTCCCAACTCTCTTTAGGTTAGGTTAGGTTAGATTATTTTATTTCGAATCGAATATTGTCGAAATTATGATAGAAAAAAATTATGATAGAAAAAATATTTAAGATAAAAGTTGACTTCAAAGTACTTTATAATTTAAAACAATTTGTTAAAATAAAAATTCATGTCCTTTATTTTCTACAAAATAATAAATTAAAAACTTTATTTTCTACAAAATAATAAATTAAAAACTTTATTTTCTACAAAATAATAAATTAAAAACTTATTAAAGTCGGAGGAAAACTATGCTTTTTCCTGAAAAATATTAAGAAATATTAGAAATATAATATTAGAAATATTAAGTTGTACACTAAGTTATTTAAATTATACTTGTACAGGTCAAATCATATATATCTATATGTATATGTATTAAATAATACAAACCTAATTCTATTTGGTAGCATCCTTTAGCATAAAAACGTAGAGCAATTAATAGTTATAACGTCGGTGATATATCTTTCTCATGCCCTGCTCCAGAAGATAACCTTTCTTCAACTAATCCTATAACGAATCGCACTGATTCTTTAGACAATGAATCTGTATCGATTTCGAAATTCAATTTCATTAAATGTTCCAAACGGATCTATCCTGTTACGGAAAACTGGTGGCCTTCTCTCTTGAATTTGCATCACATCCCGCACTTCCCGTACTTCGTTGATCACGCGACTGCATTCCATCTTTTCTGGTAGAATTTATTAGCGTATTTAAACATGCCCCTTGCCACTTTTATCGCACACTGTTAAGATTTTGAGATGTTAACACGTAATTAAGACTTATTAGTGGTTCTGAATAGGATTTTTGTCATAAACACGCATGATTATTGATCAATATTTAATAGCGCGCTGCTATCATCGCACTTAGAATACGAGCACTAATAAAAGCTCTAACATGTCGACTTGTTAGCGCGCTAACATCGTTGTAAGCGCGTTCTGAACGGGCCTGATGTTTGAGTGTAAACACTCAAAATTTAAGTGTAAACACACAGATTTCAGAGTAAACTCCCAAAATTTAGGGTTTACACTCAAATTTGAGTATAAACACTGAAATTTTCAGAGTTTTTTTCCGTAAGGGATGTCACACTGAAAAAAAATATAGTCAATTTTAATAAATATTTAGTTGAATACTGCCAACTAAATATGTATTAAATATAAAGATATATTTATTTGATATAAGAAATATTAATTTGATTTAACAATCTTTTTTTTCACTCAACAAATATTTATTTACTGTAAGTAAATGTTTAGTTGGCAGTATTGAACTAAATATTTATTAAAATTGACTATTTTTTTTTCAGTGCAGCGAAATTATCGTGTATGAGGTTGTATTTGAAGGATTATAAAATCGCGCGACTGTCTACAAAACATCAACATAAAGTGCTGCGTGCCTGGGTGTAGGCAGAGAAGTAAAAAGGGCCTTTCATTTAATAGGTAAACATTTTTGTAT